TGGGGCCTATAACTACTGATGAATGAGCAGTGTGCTTAGCTGGTTTGGTAATTATAAACCCACCTTAGTTTGTTCTTGTGGTGATTGGTGTGCTGTGTATGGTAGCCCTATTTATGCTGTGAGTAATTTTTTTTCTAAGGTTGATATATGGCAGATGCTTTACCAGATAAATCCTTGTTGAAACCAGTGAACTGCAAATGTCACAATTCTAGATCTGAGTGCACCTGACCCAGATTGATATATGGATTATACTCTTCTTTTGCATGTCAGCATGTATCATAGACATCCCAAATATTTAGGGGTTTCAGTCCTAGTTTTTTCAGAAATGTTAATGTGAATCTTGCTGTAGAGTATTCAGCATAGTTTGGGATGCTTGAGAACCTTTTTGTCATTGCTAATTCTTCTCCCACAAAAATGATCCTAGCAACAGATGGATGCTTTTACATGTTTATATATATCATAAATCATAGTCCTCCGAAAGTTGACTAAAGCTACCGATTGATCTGCTCTGTACAGCACCCTGAAATTCCTGCATTTGGGGATTGGGAAACCACAGGAAACACCCCTTACACACAAAAGTTCGAGGATGCACAGAAGAACAAGAAAACAGGAATTCCTACACAACCAAATGATCCAAGGAGGAACCCGGAACATCCTCGCAAGTCGCCTTTGCATCCAATGGCCTACAAAACCGATCCTCAAGACCAGGGTCCTAGGAACCCACCACCTCGACCGAGACCTGAAACTGACCACCAACGACACTCCGACCGGCCTACTCACCGTGAGCCTGCACCACGAAGACATGCAAATCCTCAGAGAGAACAAGGGAGTAATGCCGGGGCACCAAGGAGCCCCTACAGAACAGCTGTTGGGTCTGCTTCACCAATGCAGCCAAACAACCAATCAAAGCCGAAGCACAGGTTGACTGGAATGCAGACTCCAGAGAGGAGGCCATCTTCAGAGGGGCATGGCCAGCATACACCTGGAAGGAGCAGGATGAAGCCGGGTGGCTATGAGGTAATAATACCTTACTATCTTTCGGTTTTTCAATAATATAATATTTCTATGAATATGGTCTAGAAATGCCTTTAGAGTAATTACTCTTGCTTTGCATTTGTCAATCCAGCCTGAAGAAGTGGCTGTACCACCCTTTGGTGAATGGGATGATGCAAATGCAGCATCAGGTGAAAAGTACACTGGTATCTTCAACCGAGTAAGGGACGATAGGTTGTCACCTACCTCTTCTGCTAGGCAACCATCTACCACCCGTAGCCAGGAGAATAAGGAGCAACAGGTATGCAAAAACGAGTAAAATTGAAAATTCAGTTTATATGTTCAATTCTTCATTCATTTGGTATATGATTGCACACCATATATGTAAATGCACTTATGCAGAAATAGTATCATCATCTCCATGACGTTGATGCTAACTTAATTATGTATTGTATCTGATAGATCATATATAACAAACTAAAGATATTTATGCTATTTGCTTTTAGAACTCTCTGGCATTTAATCTTCCCTATGTTCTCCAGTAGAACATAGCCTGACTATATTAGTGCACTAACATTAGATGTCCACGGCTCATCTATTTTTTTTCTCGAACACGCAAGGGAGCTGTGTATCATTTTATTAAGAAAGAAGAGAGTACACAAGGAGGACAAAGTCCCCCGAAAACACACTCAAAACTCACACTAACACACAGCCACACTACAGCAAGAAGGGTACTAGAAACAAATTGCCTTTTTGAACAGCAAGTGACCAACAAGCTACCAATAAAATTTAATTGTCTTGTAATCAACTATGACTAATTGTCTAGCATTAACAGTCCAATCTGTCCAAGCTATGTGATCTTGAACCTTGATCTGACGACTAAACAATAAATGTTTTCTATATATTTCATTCATATGTTCCTTAAAGATTTAATTTTGTGACCTTAAATTCATTGAAGTATCGATGACAATATTTGTATGCCATACAGCTGGTCAGTCGGTAGCCTTGAGAACAGTTTTTTTTTTTTTTTTTTTTTTTTGGGAACCCACACATCATTATCTGTATTCTGCAAGTAATATATACTGGCAAGTGGCAACTTCGCTTTTTTTCTTTGAAAAAAACTGGCAACTTCATTGTCAATTTCTTATATGATAGATTTGTATTAAGACATGTTACATAATAACATAAATACATAAGCTGCATGATGTGTTAATTATCTTCATCTGTTTGTTTTGATTCATGGCAGCGCAAACACTGAGACATATTCCTTACTGCTCTGTCAATAGTAGTAAACCATTAATCGTGGCATTGTTTTGGTATAGAATGTCAAACTGTTATACCTGTAGATTCTTCAAATGAGTGAATTTCCCTTCCAGATAAATAAACATGAAAAATTAAAACACACAGATAACCTTATTTAAAGTTCCCTAAAACTCCACATGTGATACAGGGATATCTTATCGACTGATCCTTGTCTCTTTTATCTCCAGAAATGTTCTTGCTGCATACTTTGAGAAAACGAGGACATGATCTCAAAGAGTTCTGGACAACTTCCTATACTGCTTCTGTGATGAGATCCCTATCTTGTAACTCTTCCTGTGCTAGTTGTCATGTTTGTTGTTGTTGGTGTGATTATGTATCTGTAATTGGATTGTTCCATTTAAGCTCTTCACTTACATGGAACATATATATGATACCATTTAGATTTGTAAAGTATGGAGTGAGCAATTTCCTTGCGATAATAAAATATTTATCGAATGGGCTCTGGAGTTCTATAGTTAGTTAATGTGGATATCAGCCAGACACCAACAATATGCTTTCAGTTTTTTTTATTTAAAAACAAACTGCAGTGTGCTCCCTTGTTATTCTCAATAGCTATGATCAGATTATAAACAGAAAATTCCATACAAATTAATCATTTGTCCTTTTACTACCATTTTTCTAGTTGGGATCTTCCTGAAGAGCATTTCTTAGTATAATAAACTTTTCCAGAGAGCCTCTAAAAAAATCCTTGAAATTAGGAGATATGTAACTATACTTTTTTTTCCAACTGAAACAGGGGGTAGAGGTCCCTACTGCATTAGGACATATGCAAATATAAGAGTTCCCCATTTTACATAGGGAAATGACTTAAATTTAGATAAAATAGCAAATGAAACTTTAACATCAAACAATTCTCATACAAGATATGATATAAATGGAACTAAATAGCAGTGTAGCGGCCGCTATAGCGTCCACAATAGCAGTAGCAATCTCTTACCGCTACACTATAACGTAGTGGACTAGATTTAGCAGGATGGAACTTATTTTTTTCTCAAACTACGCAGGAGAGCTGCGTGTCATTTCATTAAAGTAGAAATAAAAAAACACAAAGTCTGGTTAGATCCTACTCGAGTACAAAAACAACACAAACACACATACCAACTTAGCTAAAACAGACACGCCACAAAAAAACGACGACGACCAGGCAACACAGCCTGCCTTATACCCCCAAGGCCGTGCCCTGACCAAGAGTTCCTGGAGCTTTTTTGCTCCAACACTACACCAAAGATTGCCCTCAGCAGGATGGAACTTAACAGTCACTATTTGAGGTAGTAGACAGCTATAGCGGTCCGCAATTCTTTGTAACGGACACAAATGATTCGAGAGATTATGGGAGTGATGAGGTTGCTACTTCTTACAATAACAACAAATGATGGTTTTATAAACTATTTTATGTCTCTTATAATCTATTTAAAAAAACTCTGATATGAGATGATTTTATATGTTATGTGTGGACACCATGTTTATTTTCTTAATTTAAAGTATGTGAGACATCGTACCTACAAGTGCAATTAAATGTCTATTTTTAGTTATTGTTTATGATATATACATAAATTTATGTCACTACCACAAAAACGATTTTAGGACACGGTCTTTTTGATTAATGGAGGTGGGCATATCTAGGGGCTGCCTCCGTAAATAATCGGGCGGCCTCATGAAAATGTCTGTCTCCGAAAATCATTTACATGCATGCTCTGGAAAATCATCGTAACAGAGGTGGATGCCTTAGGGCATCCTAAGCGTCCATCTCAGAGGCGGCCGCCTTAGGGCATCCTAAGCGTCTGTCTCTAAAAATCAATTTTCAGAGATATAAATAGTTGAATCCAGAAAGAATTAATAATATTTTTTATATAAACTCGGATGAAGACAAACTTTATATCAAATTTGTAGCACTTGACGTGATCTACAACTTTTTAGTTGAAAAGTTTTTTATTTGAAATAGTTTAGAGTCCTAAAATATTGTTTTTAAGTTCATGGATTTGAAATTTGAAATCTAATATTTCCAAACAACCTCGAATGTTGACATGGTCTATACCAAAGTTGTAGTTCTCAATACAATCTACCAAAGTTTTCAATTCCTGGGAAGGACATTTTTTTGAGTTTTGTAGAACTATTAATAGAGGCGAGCACCTTAAGACGTTTGCCTCCGTTAATCGATTTTCAGAGGCGGACATTTTTAGGTGCCCGCCTCCGTTAATCAATTTTCAAAGGCGAATGATTCCGACGTCCTCCGTAAAGTGTGATTAATAGTGACTATTGATTAGAGGCGGACAAAAAATAAGAAATGACCGTCTCCGAAAATCTATTATGTAGTAATGTGTGTGATTATCAAACACCGCTATTAGAATTTACGCAATAACACCTGCTATTCACGATCCCTATATGCTAGTTAGCACCTTGATGGTATAGTGTAGTACCAAGTATTATTAGGAAAAGTAGCATAGTATATACTTGTTCTTTTTTTTTTTTTGTCTGGCAAGAAAAGTTACATTGTCTCTTGATGCTTTCCAAATAGGGCTAACCTGGGAATATGTTGTGACCACAGAAAAGGAAAAAGAAGAAGAGAATTCCAAATGTTTGCTGTCTGTTCAACAATCTGTCACTGTAGGTACTGCTGTGGCAAATAGAATCTATTTCGTTCAGTACTTGATGGCTTCTTTTCTCCAAGTCCTTTGGTGCTGGAGCTACCTTAGCTTCCTCAATGGCAGAGCACGGCTGAAGACTTGCTCAACTTCAGTCGCTTCCATGTTCAGCTGATCCAACAGCTCCATCTCCTCCTTGCTCAGCCCCTGCAAGAAGTTCATCAAATCCTGTTTCACCTCCATGAGACCTTCTGCCAGCTTCTGAAACAATGATGCCTCCTCCTTCTCCAGCTCCTCAACCTCTCCCTCAATCTCCTTCACCTCCCTGACGATGGTCTTCTCTCCTTCCTCCACAGTCTTCTCTATTCTCTCCACAAGAGGCGGCTCAGGACCACAGGTGTTATCAGTCCTGATGAACGTCGAGAAGTCCCGACCTATGCTTTTTGCAGCTCTTTCTAGCTCAGGTATTATTGTTTCAGGTACAGTTTTATTTCTTGTGTATAAAACAGAACCACCATAACCATCCCATGCGTCATTTCGGCCACGGTAGTATACCAATATGTAGTCATCATCCTTGTTCTCAACCTTTGATGAGATAATGTACCTACAGGTCAGCAAATATCAAGTTGATAAACCTGAGGCATGACACATTGACAATGGTGGAAAAGAATTTCTAAGAGGGTTTACCAGTCATCTTGGTAGTGCAGGAACTCATTGTCATGGTTGTAGAGTATGCCAGGCTGTGAGGGGTACTGCACAAAACGCTGCACGGTTGACCTGGTAAAGAAACCAGAGTCTGGGGTGCGGATTCTCCATGTTATGTTTGCAATTAATTTGTCTCCCTCGACATGAAACTCGTGAAGCTGGCAATCAAATGTGTCAAATGTTGGGTTTAAGCCACTTGAAATGTACCATTTGCCATTAAAATCTGCCATATTGAAGTTCTTAACCAGGGCAGATGGATCAGGGACTGGGAACTCGCCGACATCGGATTTTCTTGGAACACATTTCTTGCGTGAAACAGCACAATCATTGAATTCATCGACTACACTGTTCTCAAACAGGTCTCCACATTTGATCTGATGGATGATAAAAGCAGAGCATAAAAGGCTTATTTTTCTGGCAGATTTCAGTGAGCTCAAGGTTTATGGGATTAACCTGGCATTCAGTTTCATCAGGTCGATTATTGCATGTGTTCAAGCATGCTACGTTTGCTGCACAGGACGGGTTCGCTATGCATTTGGCCAGTTCTATTCTGTGAAAGGAAAAATCAATTGAGTAACAGCTAACAAATGTATAAAACAATCTAAGTTTACTCTCATCCAAAAGATGAGAAGCTTGTGAACGAGGAGCTCTTAGTTTCAAGTAGTTACTAACTTCTTATTGACCTATATTAGCTATATACTGAATATAAATAAAGAAAACCCACTGGATGAAACAATGAGACATCTTTGCAGTCACTGCAGTTCATGAAGCAGAGAAATCTGACAGACAAAATGCTGGCAGAATTAAAAAAGTGCAGTGCAATACGGAAGATGCATTACAATGGAAGATTAAGCATCTATGGGTGTTAGAGTATATTGTTATATCTCTGGCGATCCGATATGAAAGTCTACACGTGAGGGGTTAAAGTATAAGTGAATTGTCCACCTTTTTCTATTACCTTATTAAGTTTTTTGGTTAAACTGATCAGTCCATACAACTCAATAATGAGGATGAAGCAATAAATCGGCAACTGAACTAATTCTAGTCTTCAATATGGTATCACAGGTTTAGGTTCTAATACTAGGCTACAAACCCTATTTGTTTGTCCTCCATGGCGCGCTGGGCACACGCCCTCACGGTGCCTCCTAGTATGCCCATTTGAAGATCATCCATAAAGATATTTGCTGAGAGCAGTGCCGCTAGTTGCGTTGATTGGATACTAGAGTCTTTTCCTAATTCGTTGATCACGGTTTTCCCTCTTGCTGGTGGTTGATTGGCATTTCTTTTGGTTTTTCGATCTGATGATCGGTTTCCATTGCTTGCTGCTTGTCCTCTTCACGCGCTTCTACTTTGACTTTAGCCTCGACTACACTAGCCACTTCTTCGTCTCTGCCGGTGAGGCATGACATGGCAAGCTCCATGGGATGCTCACATGCGTCACCTCTATGCCTTTTTCTCTGCGTATCACACATGTCGCATCCATATCGATCGGGAGGCATCCACGAAGACCCTTGTTACACGATACCCCTGGTTCCGCCATGACGTGACGCATCGACCATGATGTAGATGCCCCTTGCCTCTTCGGTGCAAGCGCTTAGCCTAAGGTTGGACAGCACCAGGATTTTCAAGTTTGGTATTTAGAATTTTTTCGACCACCCCTGGAATTACCAAAATTCGAAAAGTTGGTCAGATTTTTTCAGAGACTTAAACATGCAGTATACTGTTCAATGTTTGTTAGAGCTATGAATGTTTGTTTGCTGGTTAAATGGATTGATAGATTGGAGAGGGGAGATAATAGCCTTTTCTGTTCACTAATAGCCTTTTCTGTTCACTGTTGAGGAGAAAATATCTGGGACAGAAAAGTATTTTTCAAATCAAGACTAGGAAAGGTTCATAGTTTTGGAGATCTTTGTTGGATATTCGAGAGTGGTACCAGAGAGGTAGAGCTGTTGAGGTAAGGAGGACAGCAGACAAGATTCTGGCATGATAATTGGCTGGGAGACTGTCCTTTAAAAATCAAATTCTACAGGCTGTTTCAAATAACCTCAGAGCCGGATTTGGAGGTAGCAAAGGCAAGAGTGAACGGGCAGTGGTTAATTCAGTTTAGAAGAGAGTTAGATGAGACAAGGAGAGATGAGTGGGATGAACGGCAGAGGTACAGCTTTCTGAGGGCACTGACAATGTATACTGGGCACTTGAGTGTTCTTTTTTTTTGAAAAATATGGCAGGAGCTCTGCCTCTCAATTAAGATAGGAATAAGAGTTTATGTACAGAATGGCCGAAGGCCTAAGGGCACACCCAGAACACTTTCTCCGCTATGGGAGCACCGAACCCACTAATTGAAATTGTTATTGAATGTAGTTCGATGTCTTCTTTGGCTCTAGAGGCCACCTGCCTTGCATCCATGGAGCTGTTCTGAAAAATCCTCCTATTCCTTTCCTTCCAAATATTCCAAAACGTGTAGATTACCACCCCGTTGAAGTGTCGCCACCTTTGCCTTGGGATTTTGGCAGCCGCTTGTTCGGCACTTGAGCGTTCTAGAAAGTATTCAACAAGATCTCTATGCAAATTGATGACTTCAGGTGGAATTGTGGATATACAAATGATGGCCGTGTGGAAATGTAACAATCCTCTCAAAGTGAAAATTTTCCTTTGGATGGCTGCTGACGATAGACTCCAGTCTGGTGTTCATCTTAAGAAGAGGCAATGGTCTGGACCTAAAAATTGTAAAGTTTGTGATAAGCTTGAAACAACTGATCACATTTATTTCAATGCCCCATTGCAGTTTTTCTGTGGTCTTATTTGATAGATGTTTTGGGTTGGACAAGATCGGCAACCAGCTGTTCAGAGTTTTTTTTTTTGAGGTGGTGAATGCTTGTCGAGGAGAAAAAAAAAAGACATGTGACGCTTTTCTTATGTGCAGAAGCGATGTGGACCGTCTGGAAGACCAGGAATGATGCTGTTTTCAACAACAAAGTGCTGACTTCACCAGTGGTGATTATCGACAAGATGCTGATGTAGGTGAAGACTTGGTGTCCCCTCCTGAAGCCCAAGCTGAGGCCCATGGAGGATGATATGTTTAACTTGCTTTCAGCTGGTGCAAATTAGTTTGGTGGAGAACTAGTGTGTCTGTAGTTTAGAGTTGGTAGCTGAGATCTTTGTTTAGTTGAGCTTTGTTAAATCTTTCCTGTCGATGGTTTGGATGTTGGTACGCTTGTCTTTGTAAGCTAGTATCCTCAGCATCAGATCTTGGGCCTTCGTTAAGCTTTCTAATAAAGCCTGGGTGAATGCCTTCGATCTAAAAAACATGAAGCATGATTTTTCTAAAATGTTTGTATCTAAACAAAATATTAGAATACAGACCTATTGAGTAGAAGAATATGAAAAATATGAGTCTAGAGTTATAAAGCACTTGGATTATTGTTATACGAAATTTCAGATTTTTCTTTCAGCCGCCCAGAAATTACCAAAATCCATGAAATTTTCATTGAAATTTTGCTGAAAATTTTGAACCCTGGACAGCACAAGTCATTGCAAAATGCAGCACCGGCTCCACCCTGGCATCGCCATCATCGTCTCTGACATCGTGTGCTTCCTTGTAGAGCCAGAAATCGGAGGCGAACAAGCATTTGGATTCCAAGAGAGCTTACCTCGTGGTCTGTCTGTGCAGGCATGATTTTGACTAGTTTTTATGAGAGAATTACGCTCGGCCGCGTTGGCAAGGCAAGGCTTGCTTAGCCAGGCGAGTCTAGTTCCGAACCAAGCAGCCCTTATATGGGTCTGTATTCTAAGATTGTGGAAAGGCAAGAATGTCAAAACTATGTTGACAGTATGATGAAGAGTCACCTGCATTCCTTTAGCAGGCAAGTGCATGTCTTGAGAGCATCGATTGCATCAGCAGAAGGGACTACCAGAACTACACATGCCATCACCCCTGTCATGGCGACCAATTGCAACTTGCTCCAGTTCCTGATGCTACTGAAAATATCTGACGCTTGCAGTACAGCAATCATCTGCTGGAGGAGAGAAAACCCTGCTGTTCTTAGTGGCATAACAGGAGGTGAATCGTCTCGGTATCATATTAATGAGCAATCATGTATTACCTCAGACGGAGTAGCCCCCTTGACACCAAGGCGCTCGGTCCTCCAGAGATTAGCTCTCACGCAGCACCAGTTGAGTCTGATGGTGCCGCGACTCCTACTGGATGAAACTCTAGATTTGAGGCCATGGAGGAAGCTGGAACCTCCACCTAGAAAGATGCGGTTTGTGCACTGTCGCAACATCATCATGTCTCTGAATCTGCAGTTCAAGAGGGAAAGTTCAGTACAGAACTCAAACCAACTCGAGCAGAAATATCTGCAGAAAATGTTTCAGGCTTTCTCTACATAAACAATAGGGTACATTCTCATTTTGGGGGTGTGGATTACAGCCATGACTCATCTCTTTTTGTTTATTTGTTTATAAGACTGCGCTACCAATCTGCTACGAGACATCTGACAAGAAGTGTCTGCAGATGAATTCTACTGCGTTTACATGCTCGCAATCACTAGCTCCAAAATATGCCGGGTCACCAAACTCTCACTTTCAAGCATGATGAACCACGCACGAAACCTTTAGTCTGATGATGTTACGTAGCCCTGAATGCAGGCGCAATTGGAACAACGAAAAATGTGAAACAAGAAGGTCGCGCGGGATGGAGAACCAGGAGAGGAGGGGAAGGGATGAGGAAACCAAGAGGCGAACCTGCGGTGATCTGCACACTGCGCCGCCGCGGAGACGCTCCCCCGGCCCGACGACGGAGGACGCGACGATAGAGCAGGGGGGGACGGATAGGAATGAAGCGGAGAGGTGTGGCGCGGAGCAGCAGCCGCAGGGCTCTGCCTGGCTGCTCCTACTTATCGCGGGCCGACCAAACCGGGGCCCCATTAAGCGCAAACGGATCCAGCTGAATGGGTCCGGTTTGCCCGGACGAATCGCAGCCCTTCATCTCTCTCACGTGCTCGCTTTCCTTCTCTCCCCTCCGTTTCGAAAACCAAATCTCTCTCTACTGGGCGGGAGAGAGAGAGAGAGAGAGACGGCCATGGCGGAGGCGCGAGCCCTAGTGCCGGCGCAGGGTCCCGACGAGGCGCCTCTCGATGCGTCCGCCATCCGGAGGTGGGCCAACGATCCTCCTTTTCCATCTCCGCTCGGTGGGTTCCTCCTTCCGTGGATCTGGTTCCTCAATCTGCATTGTTCCCCTTTTGTTTTGTTTGCGTGTTCGTTTCAGCCGGGTGGAGCAGCTCTCTCTGGAACGGCGGCGTCTGGGGGGAGGGGAGGAGGAGGAGCAGGCGGAGGTGGCACTGGGTTTGGACTCCCCGTACAAGGTGAGGTCGTCGCTACTCAGGGTGGATTCTGTGTCAGGTGCGAGGGCGAGGCTTCATTTTGGTTTACCGTAAGTGTGGCCTAATTGTTAGATTTGTTTTCTATTATGTTTCCCTTCTTCGGGGATCCCTGTTTTAGGTGGCTCAGGAAGCCACGGATGAGTGGGACTCTACCACTGCCGCAGCTTCAATTGATGATCTTGGTAAGCATGGCTGTGTGATTTGTTTTCAACACTTGCTTGTTCCGTGTGATGCAAAGTACACTGTAGCAGCGATAAGCATTATATGCAGATTTGCTTAATGGACTCAATTGAATACAACTAGGGAGAGGAAACATCAAATATAAGCTCCGAGTTTGTAGCTTGTAAATGTGGTGTCTCCTTTATTTTCTTTACAGATTCTTCTTATGTATTAATCATTCATTCATTCATTCCATTTGAAATTTGCTTGTTACTGCGGTGGTTCTTCGCTCAGTGCAATTATGAAGATGGTTCTTTGCTTTCAAACGGTTATTTGTTTTGAGTGCATCACTTAAAACGCCATTATTGTGTTCAGATGCATACCTGGAAATGTTGAGAAAGGATGTAGCCATGGCAGAGGAGGCGAATCAGAAGGTATCTGCTGAGATTAGTGTCACTGCAGAGACAACATTCAATGGTTGGTTTATTTATTTGCCATGTTTTTCTTTGTTGAGCTCCGACAGTTTGCTGGGTTAGTAATCAATAGTCGTTGTTATTCAGATATGATTCAAGTGGATGTTGGTATTGAAATGCTGGAGTCTTTGTCTTCAAATCTTGGTCCAAAGGTAAGTAGCTAAATTGTTATTTCTTTACAGTAAGTAGTCTAAAATATAATTTTCACAGTAGTTGAATATGGACCCTGATTGTTATAATCCTCAAACTGTATTTTGTTGATTTGCATCCTTATGGCGTTCCTTACGATAGAATCTAATATACAGCTCAACAGCTGCTGAGTTGCACAATTTTAACCTTACGTACTGTATGGCCTCAACATTCATACTGTCTTATTTGCAACTTATAAGCTGCATTGAATTTCTCTTGAACCGAAGTCTAAAGGAAAACTAATTAATTTTGCTCATCAAATTAGAAGTTTCTCTTCTTTTCCAAAGTATTAGTTTAGTTTAGATGAAGACATTTGAAGTCTTTCATCCCTCATGATATAGGCTTTGAACCATTTTGATGAAAGTTCTGTTCTTGGGCTGTCAGACTCAACTGTGTTGGCCCCTGGACTCCCCTCACAGGTGAGCAATTAGCTCACCAGCACACTCACACACACACCACGGCTAGAGGTAGAAGAAGGGGGTGAGGACAGAGCACACTAGCACAGCACAGCACAAGTCTGAAACTCTGAAAGAGTGTTGCTTTGAACTGAATTTTCCATTGCTATGACTAGAGTATATATACAATTCTTGTACCAGCTATAAGGTACACACGAGTGTGGCTGATATCAGCCCCAACTACTCCCTATATGGCTGATTTATGCCACTACCAAGTTGGCCTATTGCCATACTTCTACTAGTACACTTAGTACAAGGGGGTAATGGCCTATTGCCATACTTCTACTAGTACACTTAGTACAAGGGGGTAATGGCCTATTGCCATACCTCAACAGGAGTCAGCAGAGCTGACCGATTGTCAACCCTGCTGCTGCAGCAAAAGACTGGAGAGGGGGATCAGCAGATTATCTTACAAACTGATTCATGCAGAAATCAAAGCATTGGTGACAAGGACTACATATATGAGGTGTGCTTGTAACTTAAATGTTTACGATGACATGTTTCTGTTTTCCTAGCATTATTGAACTTACTCGATTTATTTTGTAGTTGGAACTTGATCACCAAATAGAAAAAAGTACGATGGAACTTGAAGCTTTACAACATCTACAAAGGTAGTGATATTGTGTATGTTCTTTTTTATACTGAACACAAGGAACTAAAGGTATCATCCACCTTTAATCTATATATCAATTCTAAGTAAAGCATTTTAACACATACTAAACTATGAATGGTAGTGCATCTTGAATTTCTTATACACCTATCTTGAATTTGTTCACTATCATAAAAATTGTGATTTCTATAATCAGTTTTTTTTAAAAAAATGGATTCTTGTTAGAGTATATTAGGCAACTCCGGATATGGTTAGTTTAGGATTGATTGTAATCCTGGGATAACCTTCCTTATCTCTAGGAGAGGCTACTTGCCCTCCAAGCCATGTACTCCTATATAATCGGCCCAAGGGCTCAAGCAATACATCCATGCATTATACACCAATCTTACATGGTATCACGAGTCTAGGTTCTAACCCTAGGCTTCCGGCTTCCGTTGTCCTCGCGCCGCCCCCGGGGAGATCGATCTCCACCGGGGGCAGTGCCCTCGTAGGATGCGCGACCGATCCTTCTGATCCGCCGCGCCGTCGTGGTCAACCAACAACAGAAGGACCTACCTCTCCCATCGCTGCCAGGATCTGCCGCGAGTGCCGCCGTCTTCGCCACCCTTGTCGTGTGTCTGGCCTTGCGCCCCCATCTACTCCTCCAGCGCCGCCACCACCGCTGCCCTTGAGCACAATCCTACTGCACTTGAGCGCGAGTGCGCGCCTGCGAAGAACCATAGGGGCGCCGAGTCGACCGCCGCGCCACTGGGGGCGTCCGACGGCCGCGCAACGCCCCTCCCTCGCCGGTCCACCCGCGCCGCCTGCATCCGTCGTTGGAGCCGCCGGGGCGGCGGCCCGGTCACGCCGTCTGATGTCGTTAACGCCGGGTTGTGGTGCCTCGCTTGGCCCGCTCCACCCCGCGCCCTCCATCGCGCTGCTCCTTCGTCACGTTGGCTGGTTGCCGCACCGTGGGGGCTTCGCCCCATCTCGCTGCCCCCTCCCCTTTGTCCGTGTTGACCTGGGAAGAGATAAGGGAGGGGATGGGGCACTGCTAGGGGCATCCGAGATTGTACCCCAAGGTTCGTCTTGCTGCTGCTGTTTTTTTCTTTTTCCCGATCAGAGATCGGGTTGCATCGCCCTGCTGTTCGTCATCGCTTCATCCTCGACACTCCCGAAGACGAGGTTGTCGTTGTGCCCTTCAGGCTGCTGCGGCAACGCTCGTGATCCAGCCATCCTCGCCGGCGACGCCGCCTTTTCAGGCGGTGGCGCCACCCATGCTGCTGGTCCTCGTCACGCTGGCTCTCGGTCCAAGTCCGCGCCTATTGCCGCACGCTCGCGGACACCGCCGCCGATATTGTTGAAGGAAGATGCAGTTGCGCTCTTTAGCTGCACCATCTACCATCGCAGTCGGCCTATCGTCCTGCTGACTCTGTCGGCAAGAAGCTGCTGATTTTGTGCATTCGGGCGCCTTCGCTGACGCTTCGGACCCACGCCCTCCTCCACGGCTTCGATCATGTCCACCTCGACCTCGGCTACTTCGGCACTAAGGGGCTACCATCTGCTTGACAAGCCTCTTCGGCTCCCATTCCAGCCACAACATCTGCGGCACATCGACGGTTGCGACTGCGGGGGGATGTCATCTCTTCGGCTTATTCTCGAGTCTCATCGTCTGCGCGCTCCCGTTGCGACTGCGGGGGGATGTTAGAGTATATTAGGCAACTCCGGATATGGTTAGTTTAGGATTGATTGTAATCCTGGGATAACCTTCCTTATCTCTAGGAGAGGCTACTTGCCCTCCAAGCCATGTACTCCTATATAATCGGCCCAAGGGCTCAAGCAATACATCCACGCATTATACAGCAATCTTACAATTCTATCCAATATTTGTGATGATCAAACCGTGTTTAAATTTCTTTCTGATATTTTAGAGAATACAAAACTTTGCTATTCTCTGTTTCAGAAAATATTTTTCTGCTGTATTGTTCTTCTTTTCCCACATGTGTCCTTGAGTTAGGAACACTATCATCAATGCATTGGGATTAAGCAGTTAATGGACTGTTTTCTGGAGTCTTTATTCATCTTTACTTCACACCCATCCTTTCAGCATTTGAAATCTTTTGCAGGGCTTCTAGTCCCAACAATATGCCCATATATGCATGCCTGAATCAGTTTGTGAATTCATTGCTGGTTTTCTGTTGTGCAATATATAGTCATGAACTCATGATCAATTATTCAGTTTGTAATGTTCAATGTCCAATGTCCTTCAAACTATATCGTTGCATGGTTAATCTGTTTTCAACTCATGCAAATTAAAGATCGCTGTCATCTTCTACTCTTCTTCATAGTTACTTATTGTTATCACCATTAGTCGGCAAGTGTACTTCTATTTGCATTAAATCAATGTCTTTTTTTCCTTCCGGCACTGTTGTGAGCAATCACAACAGGTATCCTATGTTAACAGTTCTGAGTTTACTATGCTATGGATCGATGAATTTCTTTCTGACATCCCTAAACCTCTATATCCAGGGATGATGAAATGTTTCAACTTGAACCTATGTTATTGCCATTTGGAGCGAAGGTCTTAGACTTTAAAGACAACTGTCTCAGGATGTTCTTGAAGGCGCCAATATTGACCTCAGACTGTGAAATTTATGGACAGAAATTTAATTGTCCTATTGATTCGTTTATTTCAGATCATGAGCTGCTGATAGAAATTGATAAAAGAAATATGGAACCAAAGAAAATACAGGTGCTCGTATAGAAAACTTTATTTCATGATGATTCTCTCAATGTTTGGGCTTTATTATTACTATGGCATTGTTTTCGTCTTTAAATTATAAGGCATTTTGTTGCATATATCTTATTTATCTTTTGGGATTTTCAGATCATTCCTGATGACATTTCTGTAGATATACTGATTGAGAGGATGGAGTCCTCCAGGTATGGAGTTCTTATATCATGCTTTCCTGTTGATGACATAGAACTTATTTTATGCACAGATTCAATGTTATTTCCTTTTCCTCATGTTTCTTTCAGATGTAAGCCAGAAAAAATGATTGTACAGTGTTATTCTACGTTTCTACTACTCTGTGTTCTTTCTTCCATTATGTGTTCGTACTAAAAAAAAGTGTTTGCCTGTTTTGTAGAGAGGCTGTTTCTTATCCAGCCTTGCGATGGCTTATTCAGCAATGTCAACACCAGTCTATAATCAATGCTTTGAGACGATCATTGGTGAATGATGCTAATAGTTCGAGGTGATGTGATTGTCCATATGCTAACATTGTAGTATAATTAGTTAGGAATATCTTTATATCAAACTGTTCTTAGAAGTTTGCAATGTTTTATTAGGACGTTGTGAATATATAACTGTTGTTTAAGCTGTTAACTGCAAGGGAACCATGCTCTCTAAACTTGTTCCTTGAATTTGTACTGTGTAACCTTGCCTTCTGTTGTTTATCAGTAATTATTGTTCTTTATATCACTGTCTCGTTCTGTTTGTCACCGTGACTGCTCTGCTGAATGCTGATGTGGTCATTCAAAGTGCCCAAATAACCCCCACTTTGCTCCCTAATGTGGTCAAGCACCCCTAGGCCTGAGTGATTTATCCCACCAAGGTTCCACCTGCCCGGAACCATAGCACAGAGGTCAAGGACAGTATCTCAGTCAGTGCATAATCGATGCTGAAGTGCTGCATGGGATCATGAAGTCTCTGGCACTGCTGACAGCCGCCAAGCATAAAAGTGGGGAGGAAAACGGCCTGCAGAGTTCAGAAGAGAACAGAGAATGGGAAGCGAAAGAGGTCTGAAGGAGGAAGAAGTACCATAAGGGAGAGAAGAGCTGAGTCCTGTCCTGGGCTCCTGGCAGTAAATTAGAGAGGGGGAAGGCGTATAGACATGAGGGATATTTAGGTTATTTTGTCACAGTCAACGGCTTGAATGGGGCTCATAGCGTTCAAATCAGTAGCATCACACTAATAATTTGAAAAACAGTAGTGTATGTCGAAAAAACATTTTGACTCATGAAATAACCTAAATTTTCCATGTATTTGTTTATCAGTCCTTTTATCCCTTTACATCTTAAAATCAATTATCTCAGCATTATTGTACAATCATAAACCTAATCTTTACTTACATTACAATTGCACATGACAATGTTGATGCAAGACTTGTCTAGTGAAGCTTGACCTAATCCTAGGTGGAGAGCATGGATCCTAAACCATCTCCTAGTATTCAACTTAACCTTTTTGGAGAAACTTCATTCTTTTTCTCAGGCATTCTTTTGAGTACTTTAACAAAGAGGAGATGATTGTTGCTCACTTAGATCGTGGGATTGATGTCTCCATCAAGATATCTTCAGATTGGCCTCTTTGTTCCTATGGCCTGAAGTTAATTTCAATCCGCAATTCAGGGGACCGTCTGACAAATATTGCTTCAACTCTGCTTTCCAAGACCAAGGTAAAAAGTGGTTGCTGCTGGTCTGGGACCAATGCCTATACTCATTGCACAATGCATGCAAGAATGTGTTTTGAACCCCTCTGAAGTGGTAGAAATTCTTTCTGAAATACCAATTTATTTGAAATTGGCAGTAGACCTACATTAACATCTATTAGGATGGGGGTAAAAGTTCTATGGTGATCATACCACTGAAATTTCTGATGACTGCTGAACCTATTTTTCCCAACTGACTGTCTGGGATGAAATTTGAAGCTAAAGTGTTTGTATGGGTTAGCAAGCATAGAACATAGAAGATGGATCGGTATCAAACAGCCTTCTGGAATGAGGTAGTAGAGCATCTCGGCTCATCATAGTTAGTAAATAGAAAATTTGAATGTTTGCAGACTGGTGCATCATATCATCCATCCTCTAATGGCATGGATGTATTACTGCTGTGGGTCGACCGATGGAGGTGTACATGCTGCATTAATGCATTTTTTTCACTTTTTTGAAAGAAAAGGGAAAAAACTACTACTAATGCTGGGTCCTTATGGGTGCTAGGAACTGGCCAATGAATTGGAGCTGCAGATTCGCCAACATCTTGTAAAGTTTGTGGATGCTGTTGAAGAGATTCTCATTCGAGAGCTGCGGTCTTGTTAGGATCACGCTGTTGGCAGGAATAGCTTTGGGGGATAAAGTATAGCCAACCTCTGCTGGATTGTGGATCACTGTTTCACTTCCACACTTTGTACAGAAGCGACTATATCACCGGTCATTTTTACGCATCTAGGGCTGATTGTTGAGTGTCAGGCGCATTGCCAGAAAAGAAAATCATATTAAGCTTTTCTTAGTCAGTTCATATGTTCCTCCAAGTTTGAACCATAGCAAATTTGACCAGTGCGTGCATGGTTCATATATACTTGCCTTCATCATTTTTATCACTTGCCTTCTTCCTTTTTGCATCGTTTAGGAACTTGAATATTATTGACGAAGTATACGTGCAAGGAATTGGTTGTTTGTTTGCTCTATTGGGTTTGGTTGGATGGATGAAAAAGGTCCTGTACAGGCATAATGCAAGCCGCGCTGTTTGGTTGCCTGCACATGCCTCGCCATTAGCTCATTATACAAGCTTGCGAAGTGAAACGGACCCCAATTCCAGGCTTCGCTAGTCGTAGAGATGGAACGTGCTAAATGCAGGCGAGCACGCTGCCGCGCAGCCTCTTAAGCACCCTGTTTGCAGCGCCAGCGCGGCCCTCGCAGTTGCGTTGGGACTAAAAATCGGGCGCCACACGAGCGTCCTCCACGAAATCTGCGGCGGTGAACTTCTATGAGCTCCGTAGCAGGCAGCTGGCAGTGGATCGGCTCCTCGTCGATCGAACCCCCTCACAACGCGCATTCTGCGCAGGCCAGACACTGCAGAACAACAGCACGGTTCGGTATTTGTGTGACGATGCGGACTTATATTAGGCTTATATAATGAATCTATATAAGTTTCAGCCGGGGGTGAAAAGGCGGCATGTAATACAAGAATACAAACTCTCATTCCCATTGCAAAAAATGTACTGGTGTCTACACTTCGGTTCTCACTGCAAATCTGCAATGTTAGGTCAAGATGCACTTCATACGTGATCCGCATGTCAGGCTGCAATGCACTTCATCTGCAAATATGGTGAGAACTGTCTCGAGAGAAACTTCTGATTCTTGGCATGTAGTAGGTTCCATTGCTAAGACCTAATCCACAAGGTATGCTCACAGTGAATTTGGGCTGAATTATTTACCTTGCCCAACATAGTGACGGTATTATTCATCGAATAATATTAGGTTGTACAACCATTACCATATGCTCTGGTCCTCTGCCTTATAAAATGGAAGAGAACATCAAAACTAGACGATAATGACTTCACCTACACCTAGAACTTGGTGATTACAACAGCACTTTTACAACCAACCAAACACGGATGGCTGATAATCATGCAAAGCTCAGTTTGCGCAGCCAACCAAACAGAGTGACGACAATTAAGCATTAATTTGGGCAGGCAATGACGTGACGATATCAGAAGTTGAGACCAATTCAGAAACCAAGACAAAAATACTAACTTTAGATTCTCATCATGCATCAAAGCAAGTTTGTCCATATACAAACTCCATATTATTATTACTTTGAAACTAGAAGTCCTGTAACATATTCAATACAACATAAGTTCACTCAGTTGCGATGGAGTCACCATTCATAACCGGCAGCAGGCACCCCACAGAAGTCTTCTCCACCAGGCCCACATAGTAATCCAAACTTTGCAACTTTCACGATAACAGATAGCATACTTTGCGCGAGTGAGATCCATAAGTAGCTGAATTCTACCCTGCTAGATAACCTAGAGACTGTTTCTTATAGAGAACCCCAGGACTGAAAATGATATAGCAAGTGCAAACATTGCTTAGTGTTCTTGATTAAAGCTGCACCTTGCGGTCATAAATCCAACTGAAAGGAATAACTGGTGCCTGCTTCGCCCTTGCTTGAGCTCTTTCGTCCAACCGCCTGATTCTCGGTGCCAAGGTACAGACGAAATCCTGCGCCCTTCTCCCTTCTCCAGACAGCCCAGTGAGATCTGCAACTTTCCACCTCTGGACCAAGAACTCAAGGATGTCAGCGTAATCTTTAGCAGTGTAGACGCCCAGCCTCTGCGCCACTGCACTGAAGTGCTCAAACAGGTTGTCGTCCTTGCCATCATACATGAGATGAGCAGGCATTGTAATCTTCTTCCTCATCATGTCAGCAAATGCAAGCACTGTGTAATCAGGATCAATCTCGAAGAGCTTCTCGACTATCTTGGTGTAGGCTGTTTCATGGCGCTTTTCATCAGCTGCTATTGTACCACATATCTGGGCCAGCTTGAGATCACCATACTCCTTGGCATGCCTTGCAGTATTCCCATGCGATACAAATGTTGCTCTTTCTTGAAATGATGTGTAAAGGAAACCCAAGTATGGGTTGTTCTCAGTTCCAGGATCCTGCACAAGAAATGAAAATAGAAATTACACTTATGGCTATGTTCAACAAGTTATCTAAAATAGCTCACTCCACATCATTTTTTTTCCCCATTTATCCAATTTTTCAACATGTTACTATACAACATTTGTTGCCGATGATTTCATGATTCAATGAAAGTTATAAATGGAAGGAAAGGGAAAGACAGATATCAGTAGTGCCTAACTGCTTACCATTCCGGAACCAATCAGATACTGTATGGTCTTCTCAATTTGTTTCATGTCAACCCGTCCAGTAAGGTACATGTACTTATTAAGGAGGTCACCATGTCTGTTCTCTTCAGCTGTCCATGCCCTTGTCCAAACCGCCCACGTGGTTGGACTTGCACCAGTTTCATCGCGGACTCCATCAAGGGTGTTAAGCATTGTTTGATAGGTAGGTAAGGCTTCCTCGGTAACCATATCACCAACTAAGCAAACAAAGTACTCATCAGGTATTTCATTTGCCCGCTCCCTCAGTTCTTTAACTTCATCATAAAACCCATCAGAAGATGGCTCTGGTAGGAAGTCCTGTGGCTGCCATGACTGTTCAACTGGCTTCAGTAGGTTCAATAGGTTATCCTTGGCCCAAGGTTGAAGTGAATCGAAGATCTCCCGCTTTTGAGGTGGTAGTGAATGGGTAATTTGGCGATGTACCTCTCGTGGAGGAGTATAGGGTTCTTTGACAGTTTTGACCCTAGTAAAAGCAATAATCAGAAAAATGTAAAAGGAACATTGCACAGTAAAAAAAGTAGTTGGCAAGGTGATCCATTCATAACAGATAAAACAGAAAGAAATGTGTGCAACTCACGACAAACTATCTACCACCAAATCTTAATTCTTAAGGATGTAAATTTCCACATGTTTCTTGCAGGAAACTTAGAGAACAAACTACATAGCAGAAAACCTCTAAACTGGAAACTTCCACATGCTTCTTGCAGAAAATTGAGAACAAACTACTACCACAAAACCTCTGGAATGGAAATTTCCACATATTTCGTGCAAAAAAAAAACAGTAACCAAGAAATCTCTTTAGCAATTCATAAGCCACATGGGGCAAAGCGAAACAACTTATTTACAATGGTAGCAAGGGCTTCTGATCTTTGCATAGATAGTTTGTCTCAGGCTTTCACAATTTACCCTAAACAGGGCCAGCATCTGACACAATAATCATTACTGGAATTTTCTAAACATAGTTATTATCTAAGGGGCTGGGTTTAAGTGCTAATGTTAAAATTGCAACATATACTTACATTAAGATAGGAGTACCAAGTGCAATGTTTGATCAACTAAAGTACAACGAACACACTACAAAATTCATGTGACAAATATATGGCACTTTACAATTAACAATACATCTTTATCAATTCATCATCAGTTTATTAACCGCTTCTCACGTTTGATAGCAGGTAGTGACTGCTTTCTTACTGTTCCATAGTACCAAATGCAGCGGTTTGACAATTTACAATCATGTATATTCCAGGAGTGTTCTTGATATGGATCCTAATTTCGTGCGGCAAACTTAAGCACTGTAATGATTGCAGTAAAGTTTGACAAATTCTTACTGCATATAGCCCTCTAAAATAACACATTTATTGTCATCCAATAGAGAGTGACAAAATCCAGTTGTTTAATTGATAAATTCAGATGTAACATTAGAAAGAATGTAAACCAATCGTTTCTTAAGTTCACGACAACTCAATCGCCATCAGCAGATTTGAACAAGTTGAGACATCAACAGCCAACTAGTTTCTGCATGGTACCAATACCGCCGCAAAGCAGCCCAGATCACGAAACCAAGGGCGGATCACTAACAACCGGTCCAGATCACAAGCAGAAACGGAAAATCGACTGAGAGATGAAGACGAAAACCCGGCACAAATCTTTCCAATATCCTGGATCTCGATAAAAACGATGGAGGGTGGGGGTGGGAGGTGAAAAAAAAGACCGCAAGGTGGCATCTCTGCCCCGCCCAGATCACGAATCAATCGCAAAGGTGGAATTTTCACCAGTGATTTGCTTCGATCCACCGGGCCAAGCGACTGCAGATCGCGAATCTCACTTACCCCAAAGATCGTGGCTCCCAAGAACCAACACATTTCCACGAAGGAAAGCATCTCACGGTGAGGAAGACGGCGAGAGGAGAGGGATCCGCTGTGCTCACCTGTTGATGGTGGACGCCATGGCCACCACCACCCCACGGGCCATCCTCCTCCGCGCCAACGGTGGCAGCGGCGCTGCCGCTGCGCCATGCGACACGGGGGACGCCCTCAGCGCCATGGCGATCCTCTCGACGGTCACCGCCTCGGCAAAGATCTCGACGCGGAGGACGGGATCTTTCAGGCGCTCGTGGTTGTCCCCTTCCCTGTGCCTGCTGTGCTGCACTCGCGCTGCGACAAGGGGTTCCTCTCGACGTTGAGGTCGGCTATTAAAAAGGGTCTCCTGGCCCAGGCTCTCCTTTCCGCCGTGAACATTATTATTATTATTTTGCTTTTGTCGCTATTTCACTTTAATTTAATATGTTTTTTCAGTGATTTTTTTCCCAGTGCTGAGTCAGCGTTTCCAACCTCTTTTGTGGCGTGCATTCAAAATTCGGCCGTCACCGAAGGACGCAGTCGGTCCATTTGTGCAGAAAATAGTTATGACTCGAGGAAGTGGACCCGGCTGCTTAGATTAACAAAATATTTTGTTGATGAAACTCTTTTATTAGAAAAATTGTAGTCCACCGTTCTAAATTGCACTCCACTGAATCATGTGCATCTAGTCATTTCAATGACGATGATGAGCCAGACACTAATTCAACATTCTTTTGCATATGATGGTCACAAAAAGGTATGGCGAGCACACGAGTATAAACACAACTAAAAAAATATATCAGTTCAACAAAGCAAATGATTCCGTGCTTCCACAATTTTCACACTCAAGTGCAACTAGTTGTATTTTTCGGCCACATTCTACGTTACACCATGCATGACCATCATACCATTGGACTAGATTTTCTGCAAGTATTTTCTCAAACAGTCGGGATGGTTCAAATCTTTGAGTTCCAAGGTAGTATAATTGAATTTCTGAAGCACAAATGTAATTGGCATGATCTTATTGTGAGACAGTTCCTTGCCACCGTGGAGATTGATTTTAACGAAGAAGAAATAGAGTGGATGATCCGAAAAAGACAATTAAAGCTTCATTTGTGTAATTCTGCACGGCTCACAAGTTAGATTATAATCTCTATACTAAAAGCATCAATATTGACAATGAAGAGTCCTTCAAACAACTGAGGTCCACTAGTGCCAAGTAAACCGCCATGGCCGACCACCTCTCTATTTATAGGAGGGGCCACAGTGCCACACCAACGATGGACCTATTTTACCATAGGTATGCCAGACAAAAAACATATGAAAATAAAAATTAAAATGCAACACACAGAAGTCGAACTTAGCAACCTCCCTGGTAGGCCATGTAGCAGCCCCTAAGCTGCAAACAAGCAAACCACATGCTTACAAGTGCATGGAGACATAAATGTTTCTTATATTAGATTATATCCCGCACGTTCCTGCGGTAATTCAAAAATGACTACATATACTTGGTTATAGGAGAAATAGTTAAAGAACCAAAACACGTCTACACGTGAAGTTGGGGCTGTAATTTTGTACATGTGGGTATGTAATTTTCTGGTTGAATATAATATGGCCATAATCTACTATATATGTGATTGATTTTCTCTAGCTAAAAGAGGATGAGGAAGAACATAATTATGTATTCCTGTTGCGATGTTTTAAAGAGGCTGCAGAGTTTCATCTCTCAAAGATAGCAAAACAAAATGATGAGAATCTACTCTTATCAAAGCATGTTACTTTGGCCGCCAGGAACAACATCCACGTTGGCCCGAATGACCCCAGCCGTATGATCCTCCATCCCGTGGCCCTTATTGCTTGAAAAGGATTCTCTTCGGAAACATATTCTACCGCTTCTCGTGGCTTTCTCCGGCTTCCTCTTTTCTTTCCTTTAGCTTCTCCGGCTTCTCGTCCAAATCCACAAGACCAAATATATACCCAGCTTCGGCTTCTACTTCTACACAATTCCCCTTCTCGATTCTTCTCCTTCCCGACCTCGACGTTTCTGCTCCCGACAGACGTAGCCTCCGTTGCATCCGTGCCCACCTTGCCTTCCTCTCTCTCTCTCTCTCTCTCTCTCTCTCTCTCTCTCTCTCTCTCCCTCTCGCCCGATGGGGCGGTGTGCCAGCTGGGCCCAGCGCCGCTGGATGGCAGTGCGTCGCGCGTGGGCCCCAACGGTGGGTGCCCCGACGGCGGTGGACGTCCTCGGCCACGGAGCGGCACGACCGGGCCATGCCGGTAGCCACCGGCGCTGCTTCCCCCGCACTGCCCCTTCCCGTCGCTCCACGTGTGCTCGACCAAACCCTAGCTGCCTGTGCTCGGGTGCCGGGGGTGGGTGCGAGTGCGCCATTGCGAGCAAGCCACCACTTGCCATTGCTACACATTGTGGTCGCGGGCCGCGGGAGAGGTGGCCGCAGACCGACTGCTGCCCGGCCGCTGTACACGTAAAGGTGCGCTCTCTCTCTTGCTTCCCTCCCCTTCCCTTGCCGGGTCCGGTGACGGATGGCCGGATCCGTCGGCTTCATGGTTGGATTTGTCCGCTCCCCATTCAATCTATGTAGTGAATCGGATGCCAAAAAATCCCCTTTATCTCCTTTCCTACCTTATGTCTCTGATCCCTTGATTTCATTCCCTATATATATGGATTTATTTTGCTTACGCATAAGGTTTATGCCGCTGTGTTGATGTTGTAATCTTTTCATCAGTATATATAAGTGTGCCTATGGTGCTGCTTTATTTATTTTAGTCTTAGCATATGTCGTTGCTGATGATGTACCGATTGCAGTTTGAGCATATGATGGTACCTGTGAGGTGCTTCTGATAAACCTGACCATATTTTCGTGCCTTTGCTATTTTGCATTTTTTGGTTGATCATATGTCAATGCCAATGATGCTGGAGATAGATACCTTTAGTGTGCCTATGATGCTGCTTTATTTATTTTAGTCTCAGCATATGCCGTTGCTGATGATGTACCGATTGCAGTTTGACCATATGATGATACATGTGAGGTGCTTCAGATAAACCTGACCATATTTTTGTGCCTTTGTTATTTTGCATTTTTTGGTTGACCATATGTCAATGCCAATGATGCTGGAGATAGATACCTTTTTCTGAAATATAGGAAGTAATTTTTGCCAACATGAACGGGTTGTCCTCGAGCGAATCCCAGCCGCTTTGCAGAGTTAAATAAGAGTATGCAGTCATGATTACGGCTCTTTTATGATCTTTACAGAGTTGCTAGTGAGGCATTCCCATATGCCATGACAATATTTACATGCCATAGCTATTTTACCTTTTTCCGCCACATGTCAATGACAATATTGCTGGAAACAAATATCTTCTTCTCAACTATACCATATGAGAAGATGCGGTCATGATTATCACTGTTTTATGATCTTTTTTCTGATATCAAGTGACAATATATTGCTTCCTGCATTTCGGCTGCAATTGGCGTGCGCTCAGGGTGGCCACGTTACTGTGAAAAGTTTTGGCCGCTTGTTTCCAGTTTCATGGTTGTGTTTCACCCAGGCGTTTTCCACTCCGCCATCTAAAAATATCCTATGCTCCTATGTCCTCTATCCACACCGCTGCTTCTCTCCCCTCCAACTCTATTCTCCGCTTCTTCTCTCTCATCTCTCAAGATGCGGCGTCGCCGTGTCATGGGGGTAGGGGGGTGGCCGCCGCTGTTTTATGATGTTTCTATTCCACTCTTTTTTTTAACTAAGGCATTTGGCCTATGGAGTGATACGTATGCATGGTCCTGTTTTGCATTTTTAATGAACTGAAGCACTTTGGCATATGCAATAATGACCTACTTTTCCCTGACAACAATCCAATTTTGTTTCTACTACATTGCAAAAATTGCTACGATTCAATATTAAGGTATTCTGATTTAGCTCTTTCTTTAGTTGTTCTGATTCATGCTCTTTCCTGAATCATTCTTCTCTTCTTTGCAGCTAGGTGCATATCTTATATGCCTGTTACAAATCTGATTTGTAGTTTCATTGCAGACTGTAATTGAATCCTAAGGACAAGGACTGAGTATGCTATTATTTTTGAACTATGAGGTTAAACTGCTGCAACCAGATAACTTCTTAGGTAAATATGGAAATTTCCTTTTAGTAACTATTGGAAGATAGATAATTTGTTCAGATTAGTTTTTAGGATTATCGTCTTATTTTGCTTATATATTAGTTTAGTGGATATTTTTCTGCCATGTCGATGCATCGTGTTTGTTTACCTTGATAAATACAGTCCGCTATTTGTAGCATCATTGTCCCTGTATTTTAGCGCATCCATAAATTCTATGTTCATTGTATCCCTTTCCATGCACATTTGACAACTTCATGTGTTCAAATGGACAGTGGTTTTTTAATGATTGTTGTTTTTGTAAACGAATTTGTGCTACACCGTTGGCTGTATGAAGCATGACCTTTTTTCCTGCCTCCTGCACTATGGTTCATTGACCCTCAGCTTTATTGAGAAAGTGCTTGTGCTGGCGTGCTGGACTTTTCTATTATATTTAGCTTTTCTGTTATGATCATATCTTTTTCCTTCAATTGAGCTTCAGTCTATAGATTTCTTAGCTGTTGCTCCATTCAGTAGGTAACAAAGTAAAATTTTCACACACAGTTTTTGGCTACCAAAATATTCGTCTATTCTGTACAGAGATGTTGTGATCGTGTGTTGCTTCCAGGATAGTGGAAACAAAGTTGTGAGTAGCAGGGGTACCGGTGGAGGTTATAACTTGGCACCCCGAAAGAGTACCACCAAACACCACATCGTCCATCGGTTTTTTGAGGATTTTTAGATTCCTGCTATGATGCTTGCTCCTCCCGTGCCTTTTGGGACCAGGTACATACTACTATATCCATGTGATCAATTTTTATTTCATTCATATGCATAATCCTGGCTGATCTATGTCATGCTTTGTGGCTGATCTATGCCATGCTTTGATGAACACAGACAGAAGGACAAACATCTGAGCTAGACATAATTTAGGTATGAAAAGCAATACACACCATGTTGGTTGTCTGACTCATCATTATTGTGACATGTCAAATGTATTAACCTGCCACATTTCCATGATAAAGATCGAAATGGTGTACCATTTTTGTTAGCTGCTTATTACGTGATCAAAGAATGTAATTGTTTTACAACCTATA